TGTGAGGGGAGAGCTATTTTCAAATTCTGGCTTTTTTTTTTTGGTTTGTTTTAATTTTCTTTTCTAGATTTCTGCCACCCCAGCTTTAAGGTGCACACACTGGAAGGAATTTATTTCATGCCAGAGACCTTGAATGCCCTGATGTAAGCTTTTTATGGACATATGTATTGGACATGTGTGAAGTTGCTGTTACAAGGTACATGTTGTAGCTTGCTTGGCGAACAAGGCACCATGCCATTTTCATTCTTTCACAATGATCCCAAATTTTTTTGCAATGGTTCGAAGTTATCCAGCACTGAGACTTCTGCTTCCACTCCAATACAATAGAGGTGAAGAAAAATTTATTTCATGGAAAACTGAGACATTGTTTCTTTTCAAAATGAGCAATCCACAGACCTCATGGTGAAGATTTCTGATCTCAGCTATTATGTATCTGGAAGAAATATCTAATTTCTTCCAAGTGTTATAGATGCCATCTTGCAGAGAAGCTGGAATTCCCTCTCTGCATGTCAGGTAAAAGAATTATTTTATTGAACCTTAAAGAATGTGATTGCAGATGGAGAGGTGTAATTTTTGTTGAATGGAGAACTTGTAACTGTTTGTGCACAATCTTGTTATAAATCTATTGTTGGTCATAAAAGGCACTCCTTAACTGCTAGTAAATGGAGAGCCAATACTGAGGGCACCATACTGCACCAATCTACACCATACTCCAGAGGACACTGGAATTGAGACTGAGTAGAAATAAATACATCAGCCTGTGTTGAATTTGTGTCACAGTGGCAGCATTGCAGCTGAAAAGACAGACTTTTTATGAAACTATGGAATTCTAGTAACAGAAAAATCTGTAATTTTTCTATGTTAACTGTGACAAAGGCGGCAAATAATCAGCTGCAAACAGTTAAAGTAATTCAGTCTTCATACTGAAAAAACAAAGAATTACAGTCTTAAAGAAAAATGTAACCACTCTGTCATGTTTGTACAGTTTTCAACAAAGAAATATAGCCATCTGCTTAATTTGAATCACCAGTTGCTCCTTTAAACCACTTTCTCTTTGTGTCTTTGTTTCTGCTATCACACTTCTGAAAGTATGCCTTTGTGTGTGTTCTGAAGGGGCGGGTGTGTTCATCATCATCTGTCTAAACACTTCTGTGTGTAGAGCCTGAACACCTGTTTCTATGGACCGGGTGTCTTGAACTGTCGGTGTGCTGTTTCAACCAAAACTGTGGTTAAACCTTTAGTTAGTTTTCACTAACTGTTAACTCTTAAGTTTTAAATACACAGTAATAGAAGAGCATGGATGTGGTATATAGAAACACTGTCAGACACATTTTCAACAGAGAGACCCTCAGTGGAATAAAGGAGGAATTAACAGTCTGTAGGACAGGACACTGATGAGACTGCTAAACCTGCTCTCGAAACTCAGCCTTACACTTGCACAGAGTACAGTGAATGTTGGAGTTGTTTCTTTCCATATAGCAGTATAGTATTGCCACATGGCATTTGCGTGTTCTGACCAAAATAGTATGAGCATGGAGCATGTTGCTGTAGCACAAGGCCTGCCTTTACAGCTCAAAGCTGTCACTTTATTATGTAGGGCCATCTATAGCTTATTCTTTCTTTCTGTGGGGTATTATGTGATGAATAGACAGGTAAGACCTTTATCGAGATGAATATGTGTTAAGACTTTTTTGTTGTTCCGATATTTACTTTTCAGTTTGACCTAACAGTTTCTGCTAATAACGCACATTAAGTCACCTTTAAATGGGAGCAAATCCGTATGCATTAGGCCTTCTACAGAACATTTGATGAGATGAGAATACATCAAACGGTGTTTAATTCCCGCACCTGGCTCTGTTAAATAAGAGTTTGTTTGAACTCCAGTCGGGCATTTATTTCTTCTAATATGAAAGCTTTCACTGTGTGTTCCTCTTGTTTGCTGAAGTCTCTGTCAGTGCATTTCAGTAATAATGACAGAGTGGGAGGGCCACTCGGTGCAACTAATAAGGACCGCGATCTAGCAGGCGATCCTACTGTGACTTTTATTTCCAAGTCCTGGAATCCGGAATCGGACTGATCGTAATCACACATGGATTATGCTTTTTTCGCTGCTTTCTGTTTTTTTTTGTCTTAGAGGAAACTTTCGCAGCAATTGTAAGTACTTACAGACCAAATTAATCTCACAGTAAATTTAAAAATCAGCGTGTTAGCTGAAAAATGTTGCTGAAAGCCCCATTATAACGGAAACATTTTGCATGTTTTGTCGCCTGGCATTAAAGTGTTTTATTTTTTACGCATGGCTTGATCTTTCCAACTTGTCTGCCAACCGGGACAAATGCTTTATGAGCAGGTTATTTCTGATTTATCAACGCTCTGCAGCAGTAAACATGTACCGTGTTGCATCACTTGTTTGCAACAAAGTGAGAAATGTGTCAGACACTGAGAGATTATGAAGCGCTACATCCCGTAATTAATAAAAAAATAAAATGATCCAGCCAATCAGCGGTCGCGCAGAGAAACACGCTTCTTTGAATATTGCAAAGTGTTAGTGAGAAGTTATTGCCACGCACGGACCGAAAGTGGCTGAATGATTGATGGAGAGACTGGATAGACTATGATAACTGTAAGTGTCCAAGGTTTAGCGCTGTGCCTGCACCTTCCTCAAGCGGTTAGATGTGTGTGATACTAGCCTACAAAAATAAATGCACTTTGGAATCAAATCGATGCAGGTTTACAGCAGATGGTGCAGCAACGTCGCTGTCTACCAAACTTAATGAGGTAAAATAACGTGTGGGTTTAAAGTAGTCCTCAATAGTGTGAATCAGTCGTGTAAAGATGCAGAATAATTGTGACTGCAGGGTTTGGCATTTGAGCTGCGTGTATTGCATGCATGTGCAGAAATGATGGGAATACTATTACCCCTTCACACAGACAAGGAATGTGATACCTCTGTAGTGAGACTTGTCTACAGCCCCTTGCATGGTTGTAGCTGTAAGTAGCATGGTCACTTTATCTCCAAGTCATGATACTGTAGACCTGCGTGCAAAACTTTGTGATTAAGTGGGAGAAGGCACAAGTGCTTTCAAGATGGGAATTAATCAGTGAGAAAATCTTAATTTGGATAAGACAGCAGCAGTTAAAGAAGGAGAGTATCATGAAAGACACTTTTCCTCACACTTTGTGTGACTGTGCATATAAATTGACTTAATGTGTTGTGGTAGTTGGAGGTCAAGTTGAGTGCTCAGCTCTGTATTCAACGTTTTTCCTCCCAGTGGAAATAGGTGAAGGTAAACCAGTAAGGAAAAATTGTAGTCCTTGTAATGGGATTGCAGCTGTGTACATCACAAAGCTACATTATAGGCACTGTTATTCATTATGATTAATGATTTGCCACTATATTTTCTGTAGGGGTAACAAACAAGGAATTAAAAAATGTGTTGATTTGTTGATGTAAAAGAGTAATCACCAACACAAATTGATTTTACATATTCACATATTTGCATATTAAGTGTCACACATATATAATCAATGGAGCTGTTTTTTTGGGTTATATTGAGTTTATTCTTTCTTTTTGAGGATGTAGAAAGTCCTTGAAAGAAAGCCAACTGTAATTTCTTTGTTTTGAGTTCAGTAGTATATATTTTGCAGAGTAATTCAGAAGTTACTGAAAGCATTTGATTAGAGTCAGAATAGCCTTACTGTACTTTATTGACTGTACTTTAGAAGAGACTCTTACCATCCAGGATGACGCTGCCCTGAAAAAATGCTCACCTTCTTTGCAATGGCATGAGATTAATGCAGAAGATTTGGTTTGGCAGCACAGTCAAATGGTTTAAGAGACTTACTTGTAACTAGAGGTTTGCATGTGACGTCCTTGACGAAGACATTGCTGACAGCTTACACATCAAAACACAACAGAGTGCTAATAGAGTACTTTGGAAACAGAGATCAAAACTTTGGCATTATGACTAAGAACAGGCAAAGTAATACATGAAGACCCAGAAATCATGTATTGTAAATGTAGTAAACTTCTCATACAATTACTCTGTGACACATACTGTAAACTTAATTTGTAAAAATGATGAATGGAGACTGCTTAAACTTGCCAATTTGTTGTATCATTTCAACAGACCAATGTCAGACATAGTAATATCTCCCCATTGTCTTGTCTTTATCCTGTTGTTGTAGACCTTATTCTACACAGATCGAGTGCATCGGCACAGCTCCACAGCTAATTTGTGGTGATGACATACAGACTAATGAATTATAAACTGTCTATGGAGAGCAAGAGGCAGCTTGGCTTGCTAGTTAACAATTGAAATTTTAACATAAACAGAGCTTAGAGTATAATGATTTAGCTGCAGTATAGGCACCTTCATTCATCACTGTATAGCAGGTGTTCATAAAACTAATGATTGAGGGACTCATAAGTGCATTTTCCATGTTGAGTGACTTTACATAAATAGAAAAGGAGGCTTTAGGGACCTGTGAGTGGGCATGCGAGAGGGGTTGTAAAATTGGAAATTCTGGTATGATTTCAGAATAATACAACTTACACATATTGTTATTTAGTACATGTTGCTAAAAATGAAAAGACCAGATTTGAAGAAAACAGACAGAGAACTGCGAAATGATTACAGCTGGATATGAAGGAGTGAAACTTTGTAAACGTCATTTATCTTCACACAGACACCAGGTTGTTTCAGTGCTATAGGCTATTTGAATGAATCCAACTTAGGCCAAAGTTGGTGTCACACCCAGCAGGATAACACTTATATAATAAATTTCAGTAGAGTCCCATTGTTTGCTCATGTCTGCTGTCTATTAGGTCTGCTTTTGTTAGTATTTGTTTGCAGAAAACAATTTCATCAAGATTAGTAAGGCAGGTGTTTGATTCACCTCTTCTGTTTTAGCAAATATCAAGATTGAGTTGAACTAAATTGTAAAATATTCTCTCTGCCCTCAGGTTTTCAAGTGGACTGGTTTCTAGTGTCAGAACCATGGTCTGTTTGCTCAGATGGACTGCTTTCCTTTGGACTTTGAATTCCATTCCTTGCACGTTTGGAATGGCATTGAGTGAACAAACAGGTATGTGTGTTTGATGTCTTCAGCCTTTTGTCTTTTGCAGCATTTATATATTTTAGCATAAAAATACCAGTTGTGGTCTTCCTCTTTAATATTCTGGCGTCAAAATAAAGTAGACAATTAATGTCTCATTAATGTTCTTTAGATAATCATTTATTAAAACATTGAAGTGCATCCCGAATCCATGTATAAATGATAACATATCGGTTTCCTTGTTTAGCATAACATTTTAAAGCCTCTGTAGATTTATGTTTTACAAAACATATTTGACAAAATATTTATCACTCACAATTTACTTACAATGGTAGACCACCTTCGTAATGCCATTAGTGTGCCATTATTTATCCAATTTATATGTCTGAAAAAGACAGAACGTGACAGTTTTAAACCAAAACTTCAGACTTGTTAAAATATGATGGGACCATAGTCAGTCTGCATCACATTTTCATTAAAGCAAATCTAAGCTTGCCTCTAAATTACATCAATGAGTCTTGTCTATCAGACATTTTTTTCAACTTTAAGTGAAAGTTTTCAAGATTAATGCAAAAAAAAAAAAAAAAAACCCAAAAACTGTGAATTGATTTTCTGGTGTGATGTGAATTTCTCCCAAAGAGGTTTTGTTTTAAGAAATGCACTGTGGAAAGAATTCATGATTCAATAGATCATTTTCTTTTCTATAGACAGAGGTGGTACAAAATATAAATGACCATCTGTATCCAGCACTAACAGCTTCTTGGTGGCTTTCCTCTAGATGGCTCATGTCCCCCTCTGAGTGTAGAGGAACACAGGTTTTCTGATATTTTAGATCGTCCCCTGGAAATTACAGGTATGTATTAATGGTACATGGTTGATTTGTAAATAAATCAACACTGATCTGTGTAAATTGAATGACACATTGTAACCCTGTTCACAGGATTTGATCTCACAGAGAAGTTTCTGCTCCGAAAGGGAACAATCACAGAATACCTGCCGTCATTTCGTTTAGGAAGCAGTCCACTTATTAAGCCAACGAAGTGAGTAGCATGGATATGTATGTTAGCATGTATGTTTGTTCATCATTTGGGTTCAAATGTTGTACTGTGGTTCCACAGTACAACATTACACTCCCAACAGTACCACTCCCTTGCTCTTGCTATGAAACTGTTGCACATTACAAACATGCTATAAGAAGCAGTCACTTGTGTGTGGCCAAGGTATTTAAACTGCAGTATTCATTTGAATTAACACCCAGGCTATTACTATTTTTCTCACCCATGTACAGGTTCTGAATATGGAGTGATGGTTATTTTCTTACAACTCAAATATTGCAATACCACATCATGTTTTCGCTCGATTTCCTCGAGATCCAGTGATATGTTCTAAGAAAAAACACAGTGTAGTCATAACTGGATTTTATGAAAGGGTTGACTTGAGGCATTCCAGATATACCCTGCTCAGAGCAATAGTTCCATTTGCCTCGGCTAATAAGGACAAGTTGTGAGTTGAGCTGTTGAACAGAATTAATATATATTGCGTTTATTCTAGAAATCTCCGAAGGGCAAAAGGGGGGACATAGAGGAATGAAAAAAAATCTTAGCACATATAATAAGAGAGGAATATTAAAATAACTATATAAATGAAACACTAAGGTCCTATTTACTGAAGACCTTTATTCCCTGGTCAACTGGAGGGGCTGCTGTGTGACCTCACCTTGATGCTGGCATGATGATAAAGTGGGCATTTGAATTTGATGTAATATTTATCGAGGCCTATTGCACTTTTCCATTTATTGCCATTAGTTGTATTAAGAATAACCAGTGTAACATATGAAACTGTGGTGGCTGCCAAACTTTGCTTCGCAGCGATGTTTTGGATTTAAAAAAGATGTATTTTGAGATGTTCATTGTTTCGTGTCCTTAGGTTGTAACCGTGAAAGAGAACACTTTGTCATTCTTCAGGGAGGGGAGGATATTTTTAGTATTTTTATATGACATGCGACTGTAAACATTTACTGCCGCTCTCTTTGGCTAGGTGAAAGAATCTTTGAGCCAGGTGATTTGTGATCTCCTTCCCTGTTCAGTCAGCCGGCCGAAAATACATTTAGTTCAGCCCTTCCCTCAGTCTGGGCCCTTAGTGCAAGAAGATGCTGGTTCTCAATGACACTGCTGACAGTGTAATTGGTTATAGTGGCAAGACTGCGATCCCTCTCATATCCAATTATCTAAGTACTTTGACAGGTGATACTGCATGTCAGCTGAGGAGGGAAAGCGAGGGCAATTGCACGAAGCAGGAGGCCCCTCTGCCCCCTGCCACAGCCAGTAAAACATTGCTCACTTTACTCGCAGGATATGCAGAGATAGATGCTCGACTCTCTAGATCTGGCTAATGTTCTGCCAGCTTCTTGGCACAATACACATTATGATACATAGATCAGAGCTGACACGCTCATGGAACATTTGTGTGAGGTGACAAATTGCCCTATATGCAACTGTATTCATAACATGCTACAGGACAAGACAAGCTACAGCATTGGTGTGCTTTAATACCGTATGGAAGTATTAAAGCACACCAATGCTGTAGCTTGTCTTTTGAAACATATACGTATATTTGGCCTTGCTCTCTTTACATCTTTTGTTAACTTGTCTCTCATTTTCATAGCTGCTTATTATAACATTTATAAATGTACTACATTTGTAAAATGAGTCTTCACTATTCACCTTACACATTTTCCTTTACAGTCAGGAAGTTCAAACCCTTAGAGGTTCGGTGAGGTTGCTTTTCTCTCTTTAAATGTTTAACAAAAGAAAATCATTGAGTTTTCTTTTTTTAATGCTATTTGCATCAAGGTAACAAGAGGCCACGATGTACTGTAGTTTTTTTTTTTGACTGATGTTACAATTGTTTTTTAGCAAAGCAAAACATACCCAAGTGAAAAGGTAGAATGCATACTCATCTTTGTACCTTTATATACACAGTATTTAGACTTCGGTGCCTTGAAAATTCTCAGGTCTGTTTGTTCTTTTCTAGCTTAAAAGATTAAGACAAATCAAATCATGTTGTCAGTCGCAAGCTCAGCAGAAAATTACATAACCTATTGTCACAATAATTTTCTCTTTAATGTAATAGTCATTGCTTGTCTTGAAATGGGAATGGGATTAACATTTTCAACAATGATGTCTTACAATGTGGTTTGTGTGATTTGAATATTTACTCATCAAAGCAACTGGTAACAATTAAAATGTTGAATGGGATGGTAAATGGACTGTGTTTATAAGACTAGAAAAGCACTTATACAGCAGGTTTCTAGTCTTATCGACCACTCAAAGCACTTTACACTATACAAACCACATTCACCCATTCACATACACATTCACATACACATTCACATTCACACACACGTTCACATTCACACAGCCTTTTTCTTTATACATACAGAGCTTTTCTATCACACACACACACACACACACACACACACACACACACACACACACACGCACACACACACCGACCGGTGTTACACCAGGGGCAATTAGGGGTTCAGTATCTCACCCAAAGACATTTCAGCATGCGGGCTGGAGGAGCCAGGAATCAAACCACCAACCTTCCGATAAGAGGACAATCAGCTCTACATCCTGAGCCACAGCTGCCAAATAACAATTTAATATCAAGTGCAGATGCTGCAGATACAATATATTTGAGTTTTAAACACAAAGGTGGCATTGAGACTGAGATGCAGTGTATCAAATCACCAGGGTTTGTGTTTGTTAAGCAATCTGTGGTTTCAGTGGTTTGTGACTGTCATGTCAGCTAATTAATCATATGGGGTTACTGCGATCGATACTTTACAGCTGACTAACTCTTTTCTAAGGAATACAGTAAGCACCTAAATCATTTCTGGAAAACACATTTTATAAGAGCTTGCCTGTGTTTTTTTAATTTCTGTTTAACCACACACCTCACACATGATAGCAGTGTAAAGTCCAACAGTGTAACCTGTTTAAAAGTCATAGCAGTATTTTTGTTGTGACTAATGTTTTACGTAAGAACCAATAACATTTTGTTAAAACAATTCCACGTTGATCAGAGGTAACAAATTACTCTAAATTAATTTTACGGCATCCAGTCGCGGTGGCCAATCACACATTTTTGAAAATGTTTGATACTGGTTGCCTGTTGCTATTGCAGTGTTATCTCTCCATTAGGTATGGAATGCTTATTAACACTGAAATGATGAAAACAAAGCTGTGTCACACATCTCGGCTACACACATTCACGCTCATTTGCATAAAATCTCTTCACTGGTAGAATACCCTGACAGATCACAGGCATGTGTTTGATTTGGCTCGATCAGTGGCACTCTTCTATCATGCTGGCAAGCACGGCTCCTCCACATTTAAACAGGAAAGAGGACTCATGCTGAGAGGAAGTTATAGTCCTTGCTATCATGAATGATGCATTTAGTGTAGAAACTGACATGGTTGAGCCCACTTTGATCTGTTGGAGGATTGAGTGTCGGTGATAGGGATTTGAGCCAACTAGGCTAACGTCTGACGTTTGATTGTTTCAGCTATGGCAATCGGATTCCCCTGACTCGTTTAAAAGAATCCTCCTGGATAGGATTTCTTAAGAGCCAGGACACTAAAGCCGCTTCCGAGAGATTCTCTACCAGACCGGTAGTGTTGCTGTGACATTCTGTCAAACCATTGTCTCTGATTATACAAAGGGTAGTTTCAGCCAAGCAAATATGCATGGTCAAAGACATATTCCAAGACTGGTGATAGTTTCCAGACAGCACATGGTCGTTCCCTATAAAAATGGATTTGCTTCTGATGATAACTCTTTTGGCAGCCCTCGTGTTACTCTGTGATCTTTTGCGCTTCTCCTGATTATTGTTATGGATGTACACTATTTTACAATAATAGTACATAGGCAGAAGAAACTGTTGGCTACCAGACATTTTACTCAAGAAGATATTTTTTTGCTCTTCCTTACTGCTGTAGCTGTTTCAGTAATTTTGCTATGAACAACGCCCAATACTTCACAGGCATGTATACGAAGTAGTATACAACGTGCACGCAACTTGCATTGGATCAAAACATGTCATTTGAATGTAATCCAGGAGGCACTTATATTTCTTCCAGAACACATTTGCCAATGCAAATTAGTTATATACAAATGGAACTTGGAAGAGGCAGAATCACGTAGTGTATATTTGCTTGTTTGTTTGGCGTTGTAGCAAAGGAGCAGGGAAAATGAATGCAGACCCTTTTCATTCACTCATTATCACTTACTGAAACATGTGTAGCAGGGTTTTTCCAAAGAATTAGGAAAACCAACCTGCATTCAAACCAACCCACATCGAGTTCCAAGTTTAGTCATTTAGTCACAGATGACAGCCAAAACAAGGTCAAGAACTTTAACCCTCTCGGCCCTAAGAGATCAAGTGTGCCGACAGGCCGTGTTTTGAAATAAGAGCAGACTTAGTTGGGGACTTTGTAAAGAAGGGTGTGAACTTCAGAGCCCTGAAAGAAAACAGCCCTGCAGTGTATTCTGCAGATTATATCAGTTATATTAAACCTGTCTGTTTAAATATATTATGTTCCATAAGTTGCAGTGTACTGCATAACCTCTTGGATTTTTCTTTACATTTTTCTTTCATGTTATTCCCTGCCCCTTTACAATAATATGTAATACATTAGGCACAGGCAGCTGTTGTATGTGCAGCATAAAAATATCCTGCCTTGAATTTATTTTATAATTTCCTAATTTTTATAAATTGCCATGCCACTTTTCATATTGAATTGTAGCTGAAATAGTCCTTTAGCCCTTGGGCAACAAATAACCTTCCCAGTCCTCGGCCTCTCACAGAAGCATTTGATTTTTCAGGAGTACTAACTTGGTGTATTTATCATTTTAGTCATGTACCGTTTACACCAAAATCTCAAAGAATTCGAGGGACACAACAGAAGAGGCTATGAAGCTCTGAGAGAATAGGAGATGATATATTGGAGTGAAAACTAATTTCCAACCTGTCCAAAGAAACTCTCTCACTCCCTCCCCCACGGCTGTGCTCTGCCTTCTCAATGACCTTATCGTTGCATTATTATTATTTTTGCTGATCTTGATTTATTATGTTTATGCTCTTCTGCTTTTGACTGTTAATCTGAGTCTGGGGTAAGGGCTAGGGTGGGAATATAGTTGAAGGGTACAGTGTTTTGTTATTGTTGTTTTGTTTTGTTTTTTTAAATGCAGTGTATAAAATTAGTAAGGGAGTGCAGGTGTGGACTGAGAGATGAGTTTGTGAATAAGCTGTAATTCATTTGAGGGTGGGTGTGATTTGAAATACGATGTTGTTTTTCCCCATGTATCCCCTGTTTTCTTCACATATTTTGCTTCTGCTGAAATACATTTTCAGCTGTGAACACAGAAATGTTGTTTGACTTAACAGAACAGCTGAGGTCATACACATAAACCTACAGCTGCATTGCACGAGGCATCTGTAACCCCTTAACTGTAGCACACGGTATCTCAGTGAGGTAAAAGATTGGCTTCTGTGACTTTGGATCAATTTCTATACGTTTTCATTATCTGAATGACAGGGAAGCCCGTATAAAATTCATCAGGCTAAATGGAATCAAGTTTGTCAGGTTTATTTATGTGTATGTCTCTGCAGTAGCAGGATATTGAGATGTTTTATCGATCATTGAAGTTGATTGGCTGTTTCATTGTTCAGCCACTGAAAGCTTTAAAACAGTTTGCTATCAATATTGAGAAATGACACCTGACACTCTTTCATTTTTATGATATTTTAATGATAGATTTGATATTTATATTCTGTGAAGATCTGACTGTGTTATATTGTGTTTGTTTAGATCAGTGTTTCCAAATGGGCTTTCAAGTGAATACTCCCTTGTCTCCATCTTCCGAGTAAGAAGAACAACAAAAAAAGACCGCTGGTATCTTTTTCAGATATTCGACCAGTCGGGAGGCAGTCAGGTCAGGCCCCGCTGTATATTTTAATGTCATATATCAGTTTCAGTATTTACAAATATGCTATAATATGACGGGATAGATGTTTCTTTGCAATGTTTTTAAACGCTCATTTGCTCCTCAGGTATCTGTTGTGGTTGATGGTGGCAAGAAGGCGGTGGAGTTTTCCTCCCAGGGTCTGGCAAAGAACACTCCCTGCTGCACATTTAAGAAAAATGACCTACATCCCCTTTTTGATCGCCAGTGGCACAAGCTGAGCATTTCTGTGCAGAGTAACATGGTCTCCATCTACATGGACTGCAAGCTGATAGAAAGGAGACGGACTGATGAGAAGGACACCATTGACCTCAGCGGGCGCACTCTCATCACTACACGAGTGGAAGATGGACGGCCTGTAGATGTATGTCCCACGCTAACTTCATCCAACATATTTTGTTTGTCTTGAGCTAAATCTGGATAGTGTCATTTAAGGATTTACCAGTTTTTGGTCCAACAGTTTTGTTCCTTATCTCCAGTTTTTATCAGTACTTGACTTTATGAACAATTTTGGAATGCATTTCCAAATGCTTTGGAAAAGTATTTAAAACATGCTTCAGTGGCATATTGTCTTAATCTGTGTAAATCCTCTATTGTGACATATGTGTTATGCTCATTCCTAGAGGTGCCCCAAAGTGCTAAAAAAAACATGAGGTCAGCTATTCCACCCAATGCTTCTGAGTAGAACAGGGCTTTAGTAGCATTAACAGCTGACTCCTCATGATTTGTAAAGATAGTTCAGTCAGTGCATCAAAAAAAAAATGATAGGGTTCAAGTTCTGGTCTGAAGCAGCAGCAGCAATTCATGCAGAATTCAGAACTTTTTTGAAATAATGTATATTTTAGGTTTAGATGTGATGTTTTTGAACTGCTTTAGAGGCAAAGAGAATGACAGCATTTGGACAACTGCAAGCTAGAGCAGCTGACAATTGAATAAATTGTGCCGTCTCAGCCAGTGAAGAGCAGACCTTTGTCTGTAAAAAGAGCAACACAATGTGATGATGAAACTACTGTATGATGCTTTAATGGTCCCTTAATGAGAGCTCTTCTCCACAGATCGAGCTGAGACAAATTCTAATCTACTGTGACCCTTATATAGCTGAGTTGGAAAATTGCTGTGAGCTACTGGAACCAAAGGTAAAATGTTTTATCGTCTTAGTGCAATGTTAATACCTGCTGTCTGTTGTCAATTAAATGCCAATAAGTAATTAGTAAGAATTTATATTTTCATAATGCCTTTCATAACTAAAGAAATAAATGAGAAGATATAAGTTTTCCTTCAAAATTCTGAGACACAAAACTCTAATGTAACAATGCAGTAGGTCATGTCTTGGTGTTTTGCACAGACTGTACTTAAACAGATACAGTGTGATCAGACAGTGAAAGTATAATAAGGTTTTGTCTCTCATGCATGGGGGTATGTGTCCCCAGATAGAAACTTAATAACAGAGATCTTCCATCAATGTATAATCAATAGGGGCTAATGGAACAGTGATTCCGAATGGAGGGATGACCTTCGACCCTTTACCATGACATGCCTTTATAAGCATGCTGTCATGTCAGTGTAAAGTTACTCCAAGGGAATTGTCACAACCTTGAGAGGGACTTATCACTGTTTGGCTGCTTAGTACTTTCTAAGTTTCACTGCACAGTCTACATTTCATAGTGGTTATTTGCAGCATGATGTACTGTAAATATAAGCAGCCTAAAATCCAGGTTACCTTGGCGCAAGTGTACTGCATTACAGGATTTTGTTTTTGTTTTTTTTCCATGTATCAAACATGACAAAGGAAAGTGTCTAAATGGTGAAATTTCTGTATTGATCCAGTGTGAAGCCAAGAAGACATTTAATGGGACTTCCCCTCCCCTGGTTACAGAGCAGCTCCCCCAGATGCTGTCTCAGCCGGTCTCGCAGTCAATTGACAGATGTCACTGTCCAGCTGAAAAGGTACAATCAATTCCCCCCAACAAGGGCCTCTAATTGAGTAAGTGTAATGTCTATTGTAACTGAAACAGCACTGATTTACACCACATGTACTCTATCCTTTATAGGCACTAAACAGTCAGTTAAGGGACATTTATACCAAATAGTATTTTCCTTGGAAGCAAACCAAAGGTAGTATAGCCATAATCTATTAGAAAACACAAGTATAATTCTCCCAAACGGTTTAAGCATGGTAAATCTTCAGCCTGCTATAAAATGTGTGAAAATGCAAAAGGATTCTTTAAACTGAAAAAATTAATGTTAGATTAAAATGCAAATTGAGACCTACAAGCTTCAAGCCCTCTTTGAAGGGAGCAGATGGTGCAGCTCCAAGGTGGTGTCCAATTCCACACCCCCTTTTTATGATTTTTATATTTTGTGTGTAAGTTACAAACAGAATCAGCTTTTCAACATAAAATCAACGTTTTGGATTCCTAGATTAAAAAAGTATTTTGCTACCATACAAATTCAGTCCATTTCTATCAGAAATAGATTTGAGATATCAAGAAAGGAACAATTAATCAAGATTACACATTTTGAAGTAACACAACTCTGTAAAGGCCGGATTTCTTAGAGGAATGTACCTTATTTGTACTACTTTACTGATGAATAATTCTTTTAGGTGTAAGGTACTGTAAAGAACTGTTTTTCATTCTGCTTTATTAAGTATGGATTTATGTTGATGACATAAATGTGTCTGAAATGTTTTAATTCTACTAATTTATATTGTGTGCACAGGGAGATGCTGGACTTCCAGAGGTAGTTGGAGTGCCAGGACAAAAAGGGGATAAAGGAGACAAGGTATACACAACATTTTTATGAAGTTGATATTTACACCTATTTGCTCTTGGTATTTATTTAAAAGGAAACATGCATGTGTGAAGTGGATGTTAGAGATGCAATATTTTCACTGCACTCTAGATTTATGTAGGTTGGCAGCATGATGTTCAACATCCACAGAAAATGCAGAAAAATTCATTTAATCATAAGGAATATTATCATTGGGCTTACATACTCTCTGCGTTGTTGTGAATACCCATACTTTTGTCCTTCTGCTGCAGTGGGTTTTCTCTGTGATACTACTGGGTTTCAAGGACAGTTGCAAAGTCTAAATGTCAAGAAAAAGATCAAGTCCCTGTGTGACAAATTTATACTTGTATGTCATAAATGCATTGCCAGAGAAGGAGAAATGTATTTCTCTCTCAGCAAGCAAATGTCTATGTTTCTGACAGAGTTTCGTGTTCCTCAGGCAAGGTCCTTCAGAGATGCTACCATACAATTACCTTCACAAGGGGAATTTTCTCCCAAATCTCCCAAGGAGTGTGAACTGAGAAAGCATACATTTTCCCAATCATGAGAAAAATAGGTGTAGTTCAAAAAGAGAAGGATGCTTTCTCCATGACAGCTCAATAGACAGATGGAATTGCAAACAGCAAATGCCCAGTCACTGAAATTGTGGGTGTTGAGTCGGTTGAAAGACGACAAAAACATAAAGGAGCCATCAAATACCCAGACAAAAAAGTGTTATTTTTCCCTTGACGAATCGCATCGTTTGGATTACAAAACCTCCTTTTTAGTTGTCTGTACAAGGTTAAAAACAGAAGCAACAGAGAATGTGTTTGACTATGGATGGAATTCATAGGGATGGACAGGTGGTGGTCCTGTATGCCTGATAAGACCAGATGGCTTTTGGGGTCAGTGTCCTAATTACCATGATGTGACTGTGGGATTAAGAGATGCAGGATCACTGTTAGACCTTTGTGGCTGGAAAACCACTCATTCCTGAAAGGCACAAAACAGGTCGCTGTTCTCGGCATCTTGTGTCATTCTGTTCATAGAGATATATCATATAGATGTAGATCTAGATGTTTTTACACTTTTCGTTTTCTGGTACTTTATCATTTATATGGTTAGGTGACAACCATGCACTCATTAAAACAATCATAGATAGATTGAATATTATATTCAGAACTATGTGTGTATAGCAACAGACTGTACTAATCAGATTTGTAAATGTGTTATAATTGGCCTCTAATGATTCTTAATTGACCTCGCAGGGATTAACTCTAAAGCTGTACTGTGTGTGTATGTGCACTTTGAGTGTGTTGGTGGTGCTGGTGATTGATTACTTGCTGCTAATTGATATGACTATATTCATTAAGTAAGAATGCATCATCACATTCCACAAAGGCTATCATGCATAGTAGGCACTGTGACATGTTTTCAGTGTCTTATGCTTTTGCAAGTAGCCATATATCTCCTCAGTAAGTGTTGAACGGAGGCCTAAGGGCACATCCAAAGACACACTTATTACACATCTTTTATCTGTAGAGACCATCTATGTACAAAAAAAGCATGTTCACAGTGTACTTAGTACTACATTACTGAGCTGTTACAATACTCAGTGCTCAATAGTGATTTAAACATACTCTTCAGGGGCGCAGGCCATTCTATTTTTTTCTGTTATTTCTGCAGGCCATGTCTTCTGCTCGGAATCAGTGGCTCATGCTGTTAACACCTGAAATCTAATTTCAGCAAATCAATACTTGGCACCATTTGTTTACTTACTGAACAACAAAATTCATAACAAATCCTATTACAGGCTTGAACACTAAATCAATGAAGTTAAGGAAAAACATGATCAGGGACTACACACTCAAGACTAAGCCCTCTATGGTGCTAAACTGGCACAAGATGACATACATCTAAATTAAGATATTTCTGTGAAAAGCAGATTTGGCTTGCTATACTATACAAACCTTTACCATGCCCTTACTTAAAGGAGGTTGAAGCAGAGAATAATTTGCTAAATCTGATGTTGTTGGGTTTTTTCTCGCTTTTTTCTCCAGCATTCTTTACAGAAATTATGAAATTTGAAAGTAAATATGAGCAACTATCTGTTCTGTTTTGACATTTATTTTATTGTCTTCCTCCCAGCTTGTGTCTTTGTCATTTTCATTTCAACGTCCATTTCCTCCTAATCCACTTCTCCACATCGCCTTCATCCCCTTATACATGTATAGTATAATGACTTGCAGTTGAGAATGCAGAGCACAAAAACAATTTGACCTTGCATGCAAGGGTTTTTAGACAGTTTCAGTGTGGAGAAAATCATACCATGGTTAAGTCTTGACTAAGTACATCTCAGGCAGTGAGACATTTGTTCAAATGATGAGTGAAAACTTACAGGCACAACAGCTCAAGTGCCTCTTAAGCTAGACAGTGGTACTTTGAGATAATTATATTACTTAATTTAGAGTTTTAATGTGTCCTCACAAACTACACTTGCTGTGTTGGATAGACTGTGATGCAATGGTTTTGGTGACACATTATTTTACCAATGAATAACTAGAAATAAATCATATTGGTTTAACATGGAAAGAGGTTAAGGTATATTTGATTTAGTAGTGCAAGCAGAGCTATAAAGGAAATGATGTCAAGCAGTATACTGTACGAGTATGCCATTCACTGACATTGGCTGAAATTTTAGTGAAGTAAACAAATGGAACAAAATCATCCTGTGCAAGAACAGCAGATACTTGAAGGCAACAAAATGTCACTAATCATTGAGTGAAAATGTTTTCATGTTTTGTGGGATTTGCAGTTCATAACAGGAAAAAAAAGTAGAGAAGTAGTTTATTCTGAACCGTCTTCGCAATATATCAGAAAACGTCATGCATTGACATAATAATGTGTCGTAATTTCTTTTCTTTTATCTACTTTGACCTTGTTTCACATTAATCTGTCTGGTAAATTATGGTGGCAGTGCACCTCTGTTAAAGCATATTTATTTCATATTGATCCCTAAATTTCCAAGTGAGTTCCAGTGACTATTAAATAGTGCTGCACTCATTTAGATTTAAATTACAACACATAACACAATGAGGTAACAAAGTCATAGCAAATACTGTCTATAAGGTAAGCTCATGAGACTTTCAATTACCAACATGAGAATCCCATTTTGTATAAGATTAAAAAAATAGTCAGAGTATATTTATTAACAATTTAGCTTGACTTTGTAGAGATTAATCAAAGACATCTGGGCAATTTAGAGCATTTAAAACGTCCATAATGAGAACTGCAGGCCAATCATTGTGACCTACACAGTGCACTTCTTGGGAAAAGTGTGTGGGGATTACTTTGGCTGTGTTACTCCAACAGAAAGTAATATCCTGCATTGCAGTGAGAGTTTGATGGAGGATTCTAATGTACTGCAAAGGGATTAAACTGCTATGATTAATCCAGAATCCCTCAGGAAATTAAACAGATAAGTAGTGGGTTATAAGAATGCAGCTTACTTGAAAGGATATCCATTTTCTATGGCCTTGCACATAAATCCGGGTATTACTAGATTTACAGCTCCTGCATGTACATGCTAAAGAAAAAACACAGGCATAATGGTGAAATTAAAATTTCTTCCCCATTTACAATACCCGTAATTTATTTTTGCACCGTTTACAACTCTCCTGCCCGTATGGCTTGTGTTTTCAATTAGTACCCTCTAATTCAATTTATACCCATCGTACTTCCAAAGTGAATTATACCGGGAATTTTATTTAATGCAGCTTATTATTGGACTAACGCTAAATTTTGATTGGCTGTCAAAAACTTTCATTGTTCCTATTGTATGCATCAGTGTCAAAACGTTATTCATTTTTATATAAAGGGTTTTGGTTCAGTGGTTGAATGGACAATTTCAATTAAAGAAGACTGAATTGAAAATGTACATCCATTCTCATATGCATTTTATCGCAGGTTTATCTGTTATTAACAAATGACATCAGCAGCTGTGAATTTCTGTTGTCTCATAATGTCTAATCTAACTGCTGAGTCCATAGAAAGTATAACATTATGCCACATGCTTAATATCTACAAAATGACTTCACTCAAGAACTGTTTTTTTTACGGATCAGATGCTGAGTATTTACAAAAGATAGACTGGGCCTGTTGTCTAGAATAATGGGTTAATAATCCACAGTATAGAGATGGCATCTTGGTTATTAGGTTTAGTCACATGTTCTTGTTCTTCCAGCAAGCCTATTGAGTTCTAACAAACAGGGCTTGTAATGAAGATGTGACCATGAATGGGCATCATGTTTAATTAGATTCTTAGCTTGCAGCAAGTTCTGTGTTGCCTTAATTTGTTGAATAACTATCTGCCTCCATCTTCTCTCTTAACAATCTGATCCCTTTCGTTTCCTTTTCTTGTGCCCCGTCAAATGACACTCAAAAGACAATCAAGCTTTTCTTCCTGTCTTGCCCTGTCCTGCCTTCTTTTTTTTTTTTTTTTTTTCAAGAAGTTAGTTATTCAGTTATTAAAACAATACAATGAACCTTGACAACGTTCAGATTCGTGCTCTCCAGTTGTTAGGAAACAGTATCCTGATCCGCAGCTGCTGAGCCACTGTGTCAGCAAGAACTTATGGAACAGCTGTTGGAGCACGATCACTGATGAAATGACAAGCCTTCATGAAGCTATTCACTAATGTGTGAACGAGAGACCTTTCACTAACTGTTCTTTGTGTTGTTTCTGTCACAGGGGGACACAGGGGACGCCGGGCCTCAGGGAAACCAAGGACATAAGGTCGGATACTCACCACTGAAACAAGTTAAAAACCTAACATTCCCACAGTATTGCTTTGCTCTTAAAGCTGTGATTGTGATTGGCATGGACTTGGTTGGAAACTTTAGTTTTTATGTTTTGTTTTGTCTTTAACAAATTTTGTCTTAGTTTCAAATTGATTTTGTTTGACTACATGGTTTTCAGATCCGGTGAATAGCATGAGGCTCTTTTCAGTTAGTGATTAATGGAATCTGTCACTTCACTCTCCAAGTAGATTTTCTAACATCGTTGGTTTGTATCACCGGTTTGCTTTTTTGTTGACCTCCTCAAAGCATCACAGACAACAACAACAAAGCAATCTCACAATCAAACTAAACCAACAAGTGGGTTCCCAGTTTGTGAAGGAGAGTGTCGTACTGCTGGAGAGACCCAAGTTTATTCCCAAGCAAAGGTGCTTCTAGCTTGGCCAAGCGCCTCAATGGACACAGTTGGCAGTCTTCCTGGGTGGGAAGCCAGAAGGGATCATGTCTTTGTCGCTGCAATAGCAACTTGTACTGGATGGTCTGGCTGTCTGCGTAGAGGGTTGAGATCTGAGTGTGAACTTAAGTGTCTCAGCTATGCCCTCTTGGTGAAGCCCTTCGCTGTTGAGTGAAAAACAAATGAATTGCATAACTTTATGAATATTTGAGGTAACATTTAACCGTCCATGCCTGAGGTCACTGACAGGTGGACCGCAGTCTGGGTCCAGATAGGACAGCGCCGGGATCTGGATCTATAACCTATAAATTATTGAGGATTATTAGATTTTGACTGAGTGTTTCTATTTTAACCGGGGCAGCTTTTCTAGCCTCTATGGCACTGATCATGTGATGCTACTTAGCCAATTACTCGAGTCAGTGAAATACACACACACAGGAGAGACAAGAGTCAGAGAAATTAGTGGGGAAAGTGGAGGACTGGGACATACAGTACAAGGGAAAGAAAGAGAAAAGGAGCTGTCAAAGCTGTTCAGTTGTTAAGATTTGTTGAGACTGTTAAGATGTGAAATGGAGTTAACAAAAAAGAAGAAAAACAAACTCTAGCTGCTTTGTATTTTATTTTTTCTAAGATTGAGTTCTTTATTTTAAGATGCACGTCTTTCAAAAGCTGTCCATTATGATGCACTTATTAAAGCCCTTTTAATTATTATTAGAAAAGTTACTATTCCTGATCCCCAACCAACGTCTACACCCTTCCCAGGCTGGCATGGAATGCCAGAAGTGACAGGCGTTGTCATTGTCTTGTTGGAAATTTAAATTGTGAGAAAAGTGCATATACCTTAAATGGAAGCTTTCTGGCTAAGTAAAAAAAAAAAAATAAAAATAATAATAATAAACTTTATTTGTATAGCACCTTTCATACAAGAAATGTAGCACTTGGCTTTACAACAAAGAAATGACATGCACCAAATGCTTCACATGAAAAGAAAAGACATAAAATGAACATAAAAACAAAGCATTGATCCAAAATTAAAAACATTAAAAACATTAATATAAAATTAGATAAAATAATAAATCATTAAATAAAAGGAAAATTTAAAATAAGTGCTGAGCAGTGCATAAATGTGGCGCAAAGTGCAAAGTTTCAGAGCTAGCTAAAGGCTAAAGTGAAGAAATAAGCTTTCTTTTAAAAGTATTTAGTGAGCTGGCCTCTCTGATGTCTATAGGTAGTGTGTTCCATAACTTTGGGCCGTACTTGGCAAAGTGCTTGTTTTGTAATTCACTGTTGAGGTTACATTCCTGAGGAGCTCAAAAAATTGCTAGATTTTGCGTATTCTCAATAAAATTACATTTTACTGGAATGACTACTTTGTTATTGTTGTTGACTTCTGATTGCATGATATTGTCATGTGTAAGATTGTTGACCATCAAATGAGGCTTCTTGGATGTCTGTGTTAATCTCCTTACGTCAAAGAGGGCAGGTCCAGTCACCAGGTACCACCACTTCCTGTAATGCTAGTATGCGGGTGTTGTTCAGAATGTCCTGTTATATATCCACGAGATACTTGATTTCATTCGAGTGATCAATTGCACTGTAGATTGCTGTGGAAGCAGTTCATGCATCAGCAGCATATAGGATCATCCCTGGGCAGTTTAATCTTGAACCTATATCCACTGGAGATGATAAGATCACTGTGGGGTGACATTTTTTGTTCATGAACCTCGATACATGGAATATGGAATAACACTTAATGGCACAGCTCTCTCCCCTTCTTCTTTCTGAGATGAGGTTCAGGAGCCAGCTAAAGCTCTTTTGTTACACTACAGTGCACAAGAAAAGTCTACATTAAGAGGAGTAGCAGTAGTATTGATATGATGCTAATGCAGAGCACCATGCTTTGTAGTATTTTATACCTCAGCTCAAGTTCTTGTCAATAACGATTTTTGTGAGATGCACTGAGATGTCTCATAAAACTTGTTTGTTGCACAAATCGCAATGTGTTTTGTTACATTCTCAATGTGTGTTTTCGTAATATTATTATTACACTTGTCTTTTACACATCTATAGATATATGGACACATGTTCTATAGTGACGGCACAAGGCACTTCTGTCTGAGATGGTGCCTGAAGACGTGCACTTTTTCAGTCTCTTTTGGTGGCTTTATTTATTTTGTGTGGCTGATATTATATGAGTAATGATATGATTGACCTTGGACACTGTGCTATGGGAGTTTGCTTGACCTTTACTGACCAGCTGAGGTCATAAAACTGGATAGGTTACACTCTGACAACAGAGCCAACAAGTTCCAAGACCTCTCGCACACTTCTGGCAGAGTGTGTGGAAAGCATGGGTTGGGTAGTTTGAGAAGAATCAGTGATCAGGCAGATATTTGTGGAAATAAGCCTTTAAGATGTTATATTTGTGGAAATAAGCCTCTAACAGCTTACTCCCTGACTACATATAATCTTACGCATGCTATAGACTTTGCTGAAGCTGAAATGATGCAGTGAGCTCGCAAAGCAAACAATATTGCTGGGAATTTGGTATCTGATTCCCAAGTGTGTTTTTATCACTGTAGTGCAAATGTGTGGTTCTTTGCCTGGCTCAGTTTGAAGGAGCTGTGAGTGAGTTTTAGAATTTGGGATTTAACTTTATTGTACCAATGAGGGCAGGAGAAAAAGGTTCTAGATACTCTCACCCCCTTTAGCACAGTGTTACTTACAAAGATAGTTGCATTTAGAAGACTTGAGTTTTTTTTTAAACTGCCACTGGTAGTGTACGTGGGACACAATGCCATCCTGGTCCTATCTTTTTATTTGTGTCAGTGTTGACAGATTCTTGTAACCACAATGATTCAAGAACAATACATCATACCAACACCACACAGTCTGTCAGTACAGTGATGTGATAAGGCTGCAGAGTCCTTCGGTGCTTAAATTTGCATGTTATTGAGGAGAAATGGTTTTCTTGAAAGTACTATAACCCCTTAATGGTTTAAGTGAGTTTATAAAAATACAAGAGGTATGCAGATGAAATATTTGGATGAAAGTATTTGTTATCATATGTAATCAACATCTAATCAATTATGAAACACTAAAACAAGCTTTATGGAGTGACCATGTTCCTCCTTAAACTTGCTGTGGATTTTATAGATTGCCTGGGTGATTCTAATAATCCTTAACAGGAAAGTGGAATTAAAGAACCATGCCAAATTGTTTAGACCTATTGGGTGTAAAAACTTTTCAAGGGTCCTCTCCTTGCCTTTTAACTTTCAATCTTGTCATTGCAGGGAGAACTTGGATCAGAAGGGCAAAAGGGAATCGATGGGGAGAAGGTAAGTACTAGTCTCTTCAGCAGACATATATTCCATACATAGCACATCAGCCAGATCTAGTTTCGTCAGGGAATCAATTCTTATAGGCTTTTCATTTTCTGTGTGATGCCCTGGGGGTAGGAGTGAAGCAGCGTTTTCTGTGTGGCTGTTTTCAGGTGCCTGTCATATCTGAAGTAGATCTAAGTGTGTTCTAGCCTGCAATGTCCTTCTGCAGTGAAATTAATTGATATGTATGCTACCATGGGCCCGGCATACTAATGGACTAAATTCATTTTTCAAATTACTGTAATCCCCTTCTGTGTCATTTCAGGTTAAACTTTACTGCATGCTCTTAAATCTGGCTGCAGTGATGAAACCGATGTAATGTAATATACAGTAAACCACAACAAGAAGTTTTAGTAAATGATTTTTTTTTTCCGTGGCTATTTGTAAATGCATTTGAAATGAATTCTGATTCTTCTGGGATCTTAGTGAAGCTATTTAGGGCACAAGCAAATGAGTGCTGTTTAGTATTAGTTAAATCAAAGGGTGTCTTATGTTGTACAACATTTGTTTGCCCAGACTGACGCAATCTCAATAGATGGTAGCTGTGCAGATGGTCAGTTTTAAGTGTCTTAATAAAGGGACTGTTCTTTTCATCACCATCCTCCCCTTGAGTAGAAACAGCTGCCACAGAAATCAGCCTCCCTGCAGGCTGTGGACCTGCACTCTGCCCTAACAGTAACTCAGAGAGAAATCGGTAAAGAAAACCAGGGATAAACACATGTATATCAAGCTGAAAGATTATTGACTGATACTAGTCAGTAGAGGTAGTTGGTATTATTTAAAATTATTTCGTACAAGTCAGAAAGTACCTCATAATTCTACTAGCAGTAGGACCTTGTTATACATTGTGTTGATTAAAATATTATTAAAAAACTACTGGGATACTTTGAATAGTTGTCAAGATTTAGTAAAATGAATTATTCAGTAGAAATGCAGTTAGTCCTTTGACCATTGTCAAACTATAAAATGAGTTAGAGGGTGAATAACTGAACCTTTAAATCAGAATGTTTTAACTGCAGTTTTCTGCACAGCTCAAATAATTCACTTGATGCCCTCCAACAGTTGGTATTAAAATTTGTGTTTTTCATCGGTTTGCTCACTGCTGCTATGCAGTGATGTATGAAAATGTAATTTTTTTTTTTAAAACATTGGTAGACAACACATAGTCTGTATGACTAAGATCATAATAAAGCACTTTAATGTATGTATACACTATATACCAAGAAATCTTTATGTTGCATTAATGGTACACGTTCAGATGATATCTACAATACAGATTTTGTACTTGTTCCTTACTTGCTTTCCCTTTCCTATCACCCCTCAAAGGGAAATCCCAGATAATTGTAAGTGTGCAGTAATCCAAGTAAAGTTCAGGCTGAAGTAAAATAAAAAAAACAAAAAAAAAACCAGAATTGGCAGGTTACAAATTCAAGCATTAGTTTGTCTCCCCACAACCAGCATGGCTCTCTTTGTTCCATGCTAAGTAGCTATTGGCAACTTGAAAAGCCAGTTGACGTCATATGCATATTTGCATATGAATGACATGATCAAGTTTATTTACATAGAAATCTGGAGGAAAGCAAGACCACCTAACTGGACATTAACTCTGTCCACATCAAAGACTGACTGATTTCTAGTCGTAATTTTACATGAACTATCATGGAAGAACGTGAATATACATGATTCCTCGGATCAGATCGGATCGTGTTTTTATTCACTGATTGCCACTAGTTGTAAAGCAATCAGGAGGAAAGAATGACAGAGCAGCTCTTCTTTCTCTGCTCACTGGGCTCCAGTTGACTGGACCTCAGCAGTACATAAACTGGAAACAGCTGGAAGCTTGTTCAGCATGGATAGACTGAGACTGTGTTGCTAACCATTTTCTAAGAAAAGCAGCTGCTTAATACTTTGCTGAAAGTCACAAGTTGATGTCATTTGCCAATTTGCATGTCAGTGCATTGAGTACAGCCCTCTGAAGGGAGGGGTCTATTATGTGTATGGATAATAGGATCATCAGGCCACTGTGGAAATCAAACTGAGCCATGTATTTGTATAAATATATTTGTTACCAAGTACTTGCAGTCAGTATAACGTGCTCATAGTCTTGTGGCCGCCCTGCTCCTCTCTGTTCTGTGTGCGTGTGTGTGGGAGGCACCTTCAGAAATGAGATTTCTTTTGCATTGTGTCTGGATTCAGTAAATAATTAGAAATAGTAACATTTTTCATGTTCTGCTGACGTTCACAGATATTCATTCATCCATTCATCCATTCACACGCACTTTATGCCATCAAACCTGCAGGCAGGATAATAAGATCAATATCAATTCCAGCTATGTGTGACCAGTACACTGATCTGGTCTGAGATGCTAATATGTTTTACTATGAGCGTAGCAGGAGAGGAGACTTGTTTATGATCTTTGTGCATCCTATATGGTTGACTGTGCTCCCTTACTTGTCTCCTAGGGATTTGCTATGCTGTGCCCCACTTCCTTGAAACAAAGAAACAAAGTTGAGAAAGCTGGACTATCAGTACACTTTTGAAGCTTTATTGTTCATCATTGCAGACACCTGTTATAGTAATCGGGGACATGTTTTTCCTAGCTTAGCACAGCGACAGCCAGTCTTGCTGTTGTTAGCTAACAAGGCAGTGACTGATACAGCCTGTGTTTTGTCTCAGGGCTAATGTAAGGTTAATATGTTCTGGACTTGTGTTTGTCCTGGAAACACAGAGATTACATTCATCATTCATAAATTCTTTTATGTGACACAGAGTAAGACAGCAAACAAGTGTATTTACCAAAATGTCAAAATTAAAGAGTGGCCATTTTATGGTGCTTATGGGAAACCTATATATATATACTGTATATATATATATATATATATATATATATAAAAATATAAATATAATAAATGTGTGTATAATACATACGTGTATGTAACTGAAAACAAAATAGACTTAAAAATGTAGTGTGTGCTGAAAAAGCTTGTATTTTCATTACCTGCATTAACGTGGAGGCCGTAGAAACAAGTGTAAACTCATTACTTAACACACAGTATTATCACCATTTAATCTAATATGCCAAACTTGTCAGTAAACAGTTACCTACTTGCACATTTAGCAGTTACAGAGCAGCATTAGCATTGATTTCAGTCTGGTTTCTGCCCACGTGTTGAATCTAAGCCCAGTTTTCACTTGTCTTTTAGCTCTGCTTTTTGTTTGCTTTTTGGTGCTTTGCAGCTAATGTACAATAGGTTTTCAGAGATTTTTTTTTTTCTTTTTTTTTTTTTTTAAAAAAGCTGCCAGATCTTTTGGCTATCACATTGCTCCTTTAAGTCTGTAAAACCGATGTATATATAGCCTATATGTATATATGTATACATTCTCACACACACACACACACACACACACACACACACACGTATCTGTGTGTGTATGTATTTATGTATGTATATATATATGTATGTGTGTGCATGTGTATGTACATATATACATATGCATATACATATAAAGTTCAATATTGAGAGTATAGCTCTAAATATAATCTAAATATAACTCTTCTAATGCTCAAATTCAGTTAATTGTGGTTGTAATGCTCCTTGTGTGGGTGAAAATAGAGTGAGTGTGGAGTCAGGCCAACATACAGTAGTAGGAATAGCAGAAAAGATGTAGGTTACTATATTTGATTGTAAACAAATTAAAGACTTTTACGTTCTTAAATAAACTTGCTTGATGATTTAAGTTAACCTATTTACTGCGACTACCAGACTCTATTACATGATCTGTCCCTTTACTGCAATTAGCTCATAGTCCATTTTTAAAGCTAGTATGTTATTTAAAGCTGGAGTAGACACCTGAGAAGGCAGAATTCTATGAATGAGCATGTGATCTAGTATCGTTTTGCAGATACGCGTCCTATGGGACAGAAGGAGTGCACACCGTGTTATCTTGTGGGTAATCCAAGTTACATTTGTGGCTACATGATGTTCAGCTCAAGAGCGAAGTGACATAGAAAAGGAGTCAAGCAACACTGATAGAACATGATATCCTCCCCACTAGAGGATCTCTTGACAGTGAACTCTGATATCCTCACACAGTGGCCCTTTGTTTATGTTACCTTGGTAAACTGTATTTATTTATAGTGTAATAAACATGCTAATAATGTATCTTTTCCAGCACCCAATGTCAATGTGATTAGTCTTGTACCATAGTTTATGTGGTGGTGTATCGCTGAGCAAATGGAAAGTCACAAAAGGCATTTCCTGCTGTAACCTCCCTGGCATTTGTAGGCCGACACTCAAGATATCTATGTTACTTAGAGATCCTGTTCCACAGAGCTTTAAAGGCCTGTCATTCAGTATAACAACATTTCTCCACCAGAATGTTCTGACTGCTTAGTACAGCTGCAATTTTAATTTGGTATCCTCCCCAATAGGCTCAGCCCAGTTATGATTAAATTGTGTACAATAACTAAAACTTGCAATCATTCTAACTCTTGTCAGGCACGGACAATGACCTGCAGTTGCTCTGGTTGTTAAAAGGTATAAGCAAACATAATTAGACTGCGTTTGTACATCCCTGCTTCTCTGGCTCTGTTTATTTGCTTGTTTTAGTTGTCTGGGGCTGGGGAGTTGCCAGATTGTCTTGTGGCCCCACCACTACAGGAGTGACGAGACACAGTGGTGTGTGTAATTAGCAGGCAAGTGTACACAGCTCCCCACAGTGTTCTGACCTCGTGCTGCAGGAACAACAAGCCACACAGCCAGCTCCAGCCTATTCCCAGCCTTGTCTCCCTCCTTCACCCTTCCCTGTAAATTCAACAAAGCCCACAGCTTGCAACAAAAGCTAACAATATACCCAGCTTCTCTAGTCTACATCTCTCTCTATGTCACTGAGCACCTGATTTGGACCTGTGGGCTCACGACAGAGGGCCATTAGACAGAAAGACAGCATCTTAACTAGGGTATTGCGTGGAAGGTAGGATGATTAAAAAAAAGAAATACGCGTTTTCCCTTATGGGGTCATTAGATGTTTTCTACTTCAGAGATGGGACCTCATCAATCATCAACATACATCATAATTGAATAATTTAGTGTTGGTCAGTTGAGACGATTTAACACAGCGTAGTTTGAATCAACATATCACTTACTGCTCTGCAAACAACATATTCAGCCATTTGGATTTTGAGGAAACCTTTCTGTTTGACTTAAAGATTGTCTGTCCCTTGGTATATCACAACTATTGCCTAGTTTTTGAAAATCATATCAACATTTTACAAAACGTAAAATTATGCAACTATTGCATGTGTGAATACATGGATGCTAGTCTCAAAGCAGTGTATGTAGTTTTCTTTATAGAAGTAATAAGTCATTGTCAGTGGCATAGTTCAAAATATTTTGATATGTGACATAATTCAAATATAAGTAAATCTTTTCCCTTTCTAATCCACTTTCTACTCTACACATGATGTAGACATTTGGTGTTGCTCTTATTTAAATGATAACTGCATTATTCCCTCTATCAATTCATTTCTCTTGAGCAAGACCAGTAGAATGACTGCTTTAAAAGTCTTTTATAGGTGGAGGCCTGGACAAGGGGAAGAAACAGGATGAGAGACTGTTCTCGCACAACTTCACACATTGACAATTGTATAAAATTGGAAGGTAACACTTGACTGCACAGCTTTGTAGAGCAGTGACAACAAATACGTTTTGGTCCAGGTCTGTCAGACAAATCTTGTCTTGTGTCAGTTTTATTAAATACAGTAGTATTTGGTTAAATTTCTGCTCTCCTTAAAGGGAATATATGAATGACTTAAAACCTTTTTCTGTTATGTGAGAACACAGAATGTCTAACGGCATGAAATTTTCCACAATGTGAATAATTTCTCAAAAATTATCACAAAAAAGCTAAAACTATATAATATGTAGTCTTTATTTTTGTTTGTGCATTAATACTAATTACAAAAAAAATGTAATGAGCATATTCAAAGCACCAACTCTGAATTAATTCAGAAAACATGCTGTAAAGTAAAGGCTATGGGAAAATTGGACAATTAGAGCAAACACTGGTTAATGGTGTGTTTATTTTGCATTTGTCCCTGAGTAAGATTTAATGCAAAATTTGCAAGAGTGCCAAAAACCCCAGCAAAAAATTTGCTGCGGTTGTTCTTATGCACGTTACTACAGACACGTTCCGATGCTGTGCAGCTCCACAGTGTCTAGCTTCTGCACAGGTTTGGCACTGACAATTCAGCAGTCCTGGAGTTATCTGAATAATCAAACAGTTGAGCCAAGTTTTTATCAAAAATATATATTTTTTTCTTAGCCAAAGTTCCTTTTGTCATACAAAATTAACAACAACAAGCACACATGGGAAAGTGAGCATCAGTCAGCCTGAGGAGAGAGTACACTGCTCGCACATTGCGAACGTAATTCTGAATTCTTCATGTAAAACTGCTTTTGTAGACTGTTGTAATTGAAATTTTTATTAGCTGAAAACATTTTTGTGGTACACAGTTTATCCTCACCAGTTGCAAAGCAGAGCTTGCTAAAAAAAAAAAGGCTGAGAGTAATATATGGTAAGAGAGTGATTTTTGATTGACTGAGTTGACTTGAAGCTGCTTCTTGATAAGGACATGTTGTGCTGTAGGAAAAGTAACTGACTCTCTTGCTCTTTTGTAAACATATTGTCTTGTGTCTGCAGGAGAATATGCTGGGGAAGGGAAGTTCATTTCACAGCAGTGATGTAAAAAGGACTACCTTAAATATTTATGACTTATAGCACAACCCTACATAGTAATAGTATTATTTAGTAAATCTAACTTAAATATGAGAGTCCTAGGCAGAACATGTTGCTTTAGGATGGACAGATGGGTGACACCATGTGCCGCTAGAACAGCTTCAGTGCTCCTTGGCATCGATCCTCCGAGTCTCTGGAACTCTACTGGAGGGATGAACACCATCCTTCCAAAAGATACTCCCTCATTTGGTGTTTTGATGATAGTGGTGGAGAGCTCTGTCTGACATGTCAGTCCAAAAATCTCCCATAAGTTTTCCATTGGGTTGAGAGCGTGTCACTGCGAAGGCCATAGCATATGATTCACACCATTGTCATCACTGACCCCTCCTGCCCCATGGATGGGGGCATTGTCATCCTGGAAGATACCACTCCCATCAGGATAGAAGTCATAACTGTCTACACTGAGTCAAGCTCCACTTGAGCTGATAATCAAGCATATGATTTCAAATAATACTAAATTAATGGAGTGAAAGAGGTCAGGAACTATGTTAAAAAACATGCCACTATATATATACAGTATATGTTCTGTTTAAATATTAGTATTAGGTAAGTATTAATACATCTTTGTAGATACTGTATTTTCTGTATGGATCAAAGGGGATATCTATTATGTATCTGCTAGAAAACTGTGGACTAGTGTAAGGCAGATTTCATGCTGTTCTGGACAGCCGAAAACCCTACCACTGATTGCCGGTGAAGATTCTCAGTTATCCAGGTCATGCTATTTCTAAGTGCTGTATGAAAGCAACTGGACTTGCTTGAGGTTCTTGAAGACGTTTCACCTCTCATTCGACAGGCTTCTACAGTTCTAACTGACCGGGGGCGAGTCCGAGGCATTTAACCTCTTGTGGGGTCATTCATTTCTGATTCTCTCAGAAACACTTCACGCTGTCAAAATCACGGTGTCTTTTTATGTCGCAAATGTGTGATCAAATTCTGAGTCAAACCATTTTTGACAAGCTGATAGATGTTCTGTCTATGAATATGTTGGTATACGTTGCCATTATTAATTCTTTGTATTTTAATAGATGGTGCTAAAGTACGTTATTCTATAGGGCTGAAGTGACTAATGTGCAGTAATACGGTTTTAGAAATGTTTTTAAATTTGCCCTTTTTCAAAATAACAAGAGGAAAGCACATAATGACTGTAAATGATCACAATAACAAGGAAACGTGTTTATATTGCAGGACAATTCTCACCATAATAATGAGACAAGATCTCCTTATTACAAGAGTGGTGTCAAAATTCGTATAAGATTACTCAAATACGCTTCTGTATTTGACAGAACCTGAAGTTGTTTACGTCCTTGTTATCAGATGAGCCTCGTACCACATCTCTGGTAATAACTCAGAGGGAAATCTGCCTCTGGATCCCCCTGTGTCATATTGCCTCCGTGAAGTGGTTAAGCAGTCAATTTAAATAAAGAACTGGGCTTTTATGTACAGCTATGAGCCAGCTGCCCTATTATTGACAGTGTGCGTGGGATGAGTGCCCACATACAATCTGATAAAATCACGTCACAATCATGTCATTTTAAGTACAACTTATAGGCAAGCTGTATCATGGGTTTCCATAGGGGCAATTATTTTACATCATTCCCGTGGCTTCAGTTTTCTGAATTGGGGTTTAATACGAGGCTTGCAGCGAAAGGCAATGAATTTGTCATGTCTCTGGTGGAGCCAGACTTAATGTGATAAGGGTAGGTAATCATCTTCTGCAGATATATAATTCACTATTAATAGCCTTTCTAACTCTAAATTTAACCATGACAAATTATTGTATTTCTGAGTCATTTTACAGACTGCTCACACTCCCCATCTTTCCTGATCCCCCCTAACCTATTTGAAAGAGTTGCTGCTACTGGCCCAAATGTGTCACACCTAACAAGGCTTGCTGCAAATTTAGCCTGTCAATATGTGTCAAGCCTCATTCATCAGCTAACACTCTTTATCTCAGCTGTCCTTCTTCTTTCACATTTCACCACCAAGAGGCTTGACTTTGCCCCGAGCTTGCGTAGTTCAATCCCACCCCCAGGTCCTCTGCTTCAAGGTGTAAAAGCAATGACAATCACTGTCCTTGCTAAATCTGAGCGCGGCGAGGGAAAAGAGAGACACGGGGTAAACACAGTGGAACCAGCTGATTGTAAATCTCTCTTTTGCTACTTGCACCGACTGGTGTTTGACATTATCTGTCTTTTCTCATAGACTGGTTGTGACAGGCATGAGAATCTCACACCTGCATGAGATACTTGTCTACTGAGTGTCAACATACTGACATACAGTAACACTTGTTGGGGTTTTTTTTTTAACAAGTTTTTAATCAGTTGCTCACAATGGAAATTGATTTATTTCAATATATTGTATATTTCTTTGTCCCCAGGGTCTCAAAGGTGACCCAGGGCCAGTTGGTCCAGTTGGTCCCAAGGGAGACAAAGTGAGTGAGTCTGTCATACATACTGGACTGGACTAAATCACACTATAATTATTCTTGATTTTGTTTTTTAATGAAAATAGATACTTCTGGGAATCTGCCTGATTTATACGAGCTGTAATCCCTGTCTCAATAATGTGTTTGCCCATCTGTTTGAAGTGCTGCTATGATTGCTACTCCAAACAAGGCCAGCTAAAGAATATTGTTATTGCTATCATAACTTAGCAAGGCCTTACTGATGGTCATATACAGTAGCTTTTATCCCAGCTGAGAGAAAATGTTCCACTCACTATATTTGCAGAGTATTTGTATATTCATAGGAGTAGCTGTTTGTAATGGACATACCCAACAAAATCCCTTTATCTTGCCCTCTCTAAACAGTTTTTATGGGACTAAAGCCTTCTGCAGAAATGTGGACTGCATACTGTTGCCTTCTGTTTTTTGGACTGCTCACAGAGACTGTTGGTTTAGAATATAGAGTGTATTTGACAAAATTTTGTTCTTAAATATTAGGAATTCAACAGTTACATAGTTGTGTCCAGTAGGTCATGACTGGTTTAATTATTATTATTATTATTATTATTATTAGTTTATTTTACAGGAACAGTGGACATTAATAGACATTGCTGTTGTGGCTGGACAGATATTACAAAGTCACCCTAAAAACACAATATAAGATTAAAATGCCAATGTTAACCTGAGATTTGAACATGCTGGAAATGCAAGAGATGAGTTTGATGCAATCCTTGTTCTTATCTGCAGCCCTCTTTATAGTCTGTTCACTGACATCATTGACATGAATTAGATTAAATCTTGTTGCAATGCAGAAAATATTGGTCTTTTTAAACTTTTCTATTCTTTTCATCCCACAGTGGGATTATTTTCCTTGTATGAGATGAAATGTTTTCCCTGTAATTAGTTGCCATATCTCCTGCTCTTTTATTTTTCCTCCCTTATTGGGGCTTTTTTTTTTTCTTTTCTTTTTTTTTGTTGTCTTTTGGTAGAACTCACCGCATAATTGTAGGTGCAATGCTCTGTCTGCCAGCCTTGAAGTTATAATGAGGTCTGTGTGTTTCTGTGAAGACAACAGAGATTCACGGGGTATTTTATCCTATTTTCCGGATGGGGGGGGGGGGGGGGGGGGGGTGTGTGTGGAGAGAACGTTTGTTTGTATTGAAACTGACAGAGGGAGGCAGATTTGGAAGCACAAAGTAATGAGTCCCCCGAATATCCCATAGCAGGCATATTTTAGCTGTGACATTCATTTAGACAACAAAATGGATATGAACTACAAGCACAATTTTTCTTTCATCCACATCTGATAAAAGGGTATTGCCAGTTGTAAAGTCCACTGATTCTCAACTCAGTGCTTTATATTGTATGGTTGGGATTGTAGTGAAAAAGGGGAGAGAACTGCAAAAATATTGGACAGTGATATATGAGTTTTATCTGAAAAGACAAAAAAACAAGAGAGGCAGTAAAAAGCATGTGAGATCATTGCTTACATTGGGTTATGCTGGCGTCAAAAGACATCTAGTTCTTTCCTTATATGACTTTTTGTGACTGCCTGTATGTCACAGTCACCAAACAATGTTATCATACCTGTCCATTGTTAATACTGCAAAGCTTTTACATGATATAGTACGGCTGTGTTTATTTTAAGGCCCGTCACATTTAATAGCACCAGCCCACCTGCCAGTTGTCTGACAGTGTGAAAGTCATCAGACAGGCTTCATTTCATGACATACTGTAAATACCAGTAAATGGTCTTGTGTAGCACATATAGTACATATATTGAAATATTTGTGCTATGCATAATCAGTCTTATTTTACCTGACCTTCAGATTTGTTATCACAAACATATTGAGCCTTTGGTCTAGATGTTTAAAAGTCTAGAATATATTGTATAGATTTGGCAGGAGCCATTACCATTGCACACAGTATGTTAAAGATGTTACTGACTGACGTTTTTGGAGTTTTCACTAATTATTATCGTCCTTCACAGGGTGAAGTGGGTAAGCCTGGAGCTGCGGTGCTGCCTGTAAGTACACACTATTTTATTTACATCTCATTATGCTATATCTGTATATGTAAAGACATTCAAAAGAACAGGAATAATGTTGACATATACTCATGTGGGTGTGACCTGAAAAGGCTGGACTGAGCTTTGTAAATATCACAGCCTTTTGGCTCACACGGCGCTACACACATCTGGCCCACAGAGATGGAAAGTGAGGCACTCAGGTGAGCAGTCTCTGTGTCACATTACCATCGCCTGGGAATGGGTCAAACAAGGAGCAGATAGAGAGGGCTCAGTGGGCAACTTCACATGGGCCAAAAGGATAGGGATGAGCAGCCAGGCAGAGAGGAATGGAGCTCCAAGCCTTGGGGTGGGGATGGAGGTTGACACGTAGCCGCTAGCTGTATCCTACATGGGTGAGACATGCACTTATTGGCTTGGTGGCTTTCTCTGCAGACTTCTAGCATTTACAGACACCCACGAAGAACTACACCACACTTTATGTATTTCAATCTTATAATTGGAATGGCTGTGCTAGTGTTTCTTCTGTGGTCCAGAGGACAGAGAACATAAATGTACTCATTCTAGTGCCCACACACATTAAAAGTACATTTTTCAGCAGGCAGCAGATAATTGTATATACTCACAGATGCTTGCATAGCCACCTATCAACACATATAGTAAATGTGTGGGCACAGATGTGAACACACACACAACTCCCTGGCTACAATGCATGTAGCCAGGGAGTTGACGGCTACTGGAGATTAAAGGTATACTGCGGGTGGTAAGCTAATTACGTACGCATCATGAGGGGATCATCCTGCCAGTTTTAATCAGCACTGGAGTGATACAAACATGGCGTCCCAATGCTTCTGGCTTGCCCTTTTTATGACACCAAAGTGCCTACGATACCGACAGAACACTGCCACCATCCATTAGCTATTCTCTAATGCTAATTTTACATTTCTAAGGACCAGAAAAATAACAATTTTTACCTGACTAGCACACATGGTTTTAGTTTAGCAAACTTTTTCACATCATCCCAGTAAATTGGTTGGTAAGCGTGAGAAGAAAATGTTCCTAAAGTAATGTGGATTTGCGTTGTATTGTTTGTTACCCAAGGTCAAAACTCTGCAACAAAAACATTTACCATTGTACATGAATAACTGATTTATTGGCAAATGAACTGCAGGGAGACTGAGAAATGTTCTGTCTCAGGTCAGAGCTGTCACTCTTTTTTATAGATACATCTGCAAATATCTTAGGACTCTCAGCCTCCTTGTTAAATAGTATTTATTCTTCTTTTCTGACTTTGCGTGAGGCCGCTGACTAATGTGAAAGACTGCAGTATGTTGTGAACGGCCATTTCTGCAGCTGTTTCCAAGAAAAGTCAAAAGTGTTTGACTTTTAGATGCCGATTGAAAGAGGACACCAATTATTTGGCTTGTATTTGAAAGCTGAGATGTTGTATGTGGCCTTGTGTCCATTCTGTGGCCTGGTGAATAGACGACTCTGTCTGCCCTTTTCTGACAGTGGCCGGCGGGGTGTCTGGGGAGTGTAGTAATAGTCATGTCCTAACTTCTGTTAGGGTCACTGCGGCCAAGGATAATTACTATAGCTCATGACCAGTTGTGTTGCTTGCCTATAACTGGCCATGTATTGTTATACTGTGTATGAACCGTGCGAGTTGTGTTTTCATACTGACTTGTATGTTTTTGATTGTTTGTTTGATTCTCAGGTTGACAAATGTCCCAAAGGAGATCAGGTACTTTAATTATGTTCATCTTATACATTGTTTATATTATATATATTATCTATATTATTCACTGAAAACAAATAAATATTGTTGAGTTTATGTTTTCTTGTAAACATAAATCTATTTGCCACATTCAGGGCCCTCGAGGTGACAAAGGAGATAAGGTAACTAATTAATCACCACATTCGAGTCAACTATCTCATTTTTGTCTGTTTTTGTCTTGTTTGACAATGTGCACATAACATGTTCTCAAGCAATTGAGCACACCTATTAGGTTCATCAAGCAATTACTGACGCACCATAAGCATATCCTCGCACAAGAACTTCAAAACAAAATCAAGGCTCAGCATATACCTTGATTAACTTGTTAACAGTTCCTTATCAAGATACTGTGTAGAATAATGGAATGAAGCTCTGATCAACTGAGGCTGCAAATTGCCTATTAAGGGGATGGTGGAGAAGTCACCTAGAAACTGTTCATGAATAAGAATAGAAACTACAGCTGTACATACTCCATTCTATCTATTCATGCTGTTCTAACTAAGCTAATGCTATGTTTCCTATCACTGCAAATAAGCCCACTAGTTCTTTACTGGTATGCAGAGAACATTTGGCACAAACATCTGTCTGCATCACTTTTTACAAGTAGCGAGCCATAATCTCTTTCTGCAGCACCGAATGTACATGAATGTAGCGCCCAATTCATGATCATACGTGTCCTTTCCCTAGGGATTGGCTGGGGTGCCAGGTCAGCCAGGGGAACCAGGCAAAGAGGGCAAAAGGGTGAGTAAACAGAAACAGTCGATTAGTTGTGTGGCCTGGCTGGTGGTTGTACTGACTGAAAGGACCTAGCCTGGGGAAAGGCCAAACAGCAGCTGAGCGGCTGTTGTTGTTTTTGGGGGAGGCAAAGATGATCTGTGGCAAGGGGATTGCAACGGACCTGGAGAGAGGGAAGGGGTGGTGTGAGCCTGTTGTATGGCAATTAATGAATGGGCTCCATGGTCAAGGGGTCACATACACTCACAGTATGACTGGCAGCACACATGCTTGAGTCCCACCGGGTTGTGGTGGACAGTGTTCAGTTTCCTAAAAGGCCAGCTTAGTTTGGGACAGAGCCAATCTCCATGAGTGAAACAAGTGAAAGCCTACATCATATTTATTTACTTCTCACCTGTGAACGCAATAGCTGTGGTTAGGAATACAAGTGTCAGGGTTTTTAATGTAATGCCCAAATCAAAAGTATGCATTTACTCCAATATTCTCAATTCGGGATGGCTTAGTTTTGTTACATAAAAACTCACAATCTTTCTGGGAACATACTGTATGTGAAATTCCAGTTGCTTCAGATACATCTGAATAGTTCGCAGGTTAGGTACTTGTATGTGTATGGTGTGCTGTCATTAATAATGTAATTGGTAAATGTTGTAACATCGTGGTGGGGTGAAGATTGCCTCACTGAAAGAATGTTGTTGTTCCTTGACACCACAGCTGAAAGGCCGTGTTCAAGGACAGGTGGAGAGAGTGTCCTTTTGTGTCCAGCTGAATTGATTTGGTGTGAATACCTTTGCCTTTGTCAACGTCATCAAAATTAAGCTCCTCGGACGACTGAGTATTCCTGTTTGTCTTACAGATAATGCTCATAAAATGGTGGAAAAAAAAAAACATTTGGCTCCGCCGCATCAAAATATAAAATATATAGCAGGTTGAGCTGTAGAGCACCCATAAGTAGGTCAGGCAAATCACATTTCAGATTAAGCAAGAGCGGAGATGATGCACAATACTCAAGACATCTGGATGCAAGTATCTCAAGAATTCCACCCTTCTGTGCGTGAATTCATTCAAACTCAAAACTTGTTCCAATAGCATTAACAATTTATGACCTATCATCGGTTGTGTTATTTCTCAATGGATCATTTCCCCCAATGCATGAAGTAACAGAATCTATTGTCGGGAAAAGTATTCACAGTCAAGACAAGTGAGCTCAGAGGCTGGTGCAGATGTTTTTTTGATGCTTTTGTCTCTCTACCTCATTAGTTAGGTGTTATTTTATACCTAACCTGACTTAAGTAGGGACTCCGCGTCAAAGGAACTGAGTGTCAGACGCATCAATTATGGTGTTCACTTTTCTTGTGGAATACAGTCTTATGATGAATCTTTCAATCATAATTGGTTCTGAGGAAATAGAAAGCCTCTCTGTGTTTGATGTTGTGGCTTCTTGGTTGCCTGTATACCCGCAATATTTCTCGCACTAGTTATTTCTTTTAAGATTTTGTAGGTAAACTAGCCACAGGGCTTTTAAACTGGCCATCTCAGACTGCTGTTGTTGTTGCTGAAGACACAGTTCTGATCTATTAATACCCTGTCTTTGATGACTGGCTGACTTCACGGTGACTGTTAATGTGCTAAGGTTTCTGCTTATTCTTAGCTCTAGGAGTCACATGTGGCCTCAAAGTTGTTGACCAACCTGTGTTTCTGCAGTTTGACAGCCTATTTTAGGAAGGTGGACATATATCATTATCAGGGGCTAGCTAGTGGCCAGCTGATACAGCAAGAGACTCTCACCTAATTAGCAACTCTTGTCCATGCTTGCAACTTATTGGTTTCACTAAGAGCCATAGCTGATGTACAAATGATGCAAAATATCTTGACGGAGACTGACCACTCCACAAGCTTCATAGAATAGCCAGGAGTGGGAAGCTTTCACAAGGCCTTAGATTCAAGCCAGGCCATCTCTCACACTGTCTACTTCAATTTATTGTTGAGGAAAATACGACCACTCTAAGCCATTTAGATTTACTTCAAGGAGATGTGGAGGACATTGTAGTGAGGAGGAAGAGGAATGATGCCATTTGCACTGATCCAGCTCTGAAGCTTAAAGCAACATATGCAAGAGAGGACAGTCACCAAACCCCCTTCTGTGACCCCTTGTCTAACATTCACAGAATTTTGATTTTATCTTATTACCTTGATGGATGACTAGTTCAGTTAGTCAAGGCCAGTCCAACCATGTCTAAGAATTTATGGGAATGTATTGCCCCCACATTACACATTGCCATTAATAGTGATGTGAATGGCTTGGTTTTATCCATTATGGATGGCATTGGCACAGAAAGGCAGGCAAAGAGTTGGACTTTGGGATTCAGTGGCACATTACAGCAGATCAAAAAAATGAAAGTGGGGTGCACCAGTAAAAAGGATATGTCCCCCTTGCTGCCTGTGGTGTGCTAAAATATTCATCAGGTGCTGTAATGATGTGCTAAGCTCTGTGTTGTCATTGTAGGCTGGCCCCATCCTACACAGGCTGAGGAGGTGAAAGACACGCACGCTGAAGGAGATAACCTTGAAATCTTAGTGTTTTCAGTGTAGTCGTTTGCAAGCCAAGTATTAGGTATGCTCATGCAGCATGCAGAGCAGAGATGTGCCTGCCTGATACCCATCAACAAATATGAGGGGCTGTATGATAAAGTCTTATGTACATACAAAAGGGATGTGGGATTTGGTGGCAGAAAGGATTGAAAAAGTACCAGGATGACATAATTTTGCATGCTCAAAATAGGACTGAAAACCTACGCTTGGTCAATGCACTTTGCTTCCTCAAAGCCAAAATACACAGGAACGCCATGGCAAGCTTGGTTTATTCATGTCCTGCCAAGTCTTCCCAGCATACTCTGCTTCGGTAGTTGGCACAGGGTTGTGAGTGGGTTCATTGCAGACATGGGTTCATCCCTGGGCAAAGTAGTAGGTTCCCATGGATTAATAAATAATCACTTTAATAAATCCCCATTACAAGGTGGGTCTTGGAGTTTTAATCCATGCCTAACACCACATTAAGTCTTATTAGCTGTATAAATGCACCTGTATAGAAAATAAGGCCATGCTAAATATAAATCACTGATTCCCCTGGTTTGGAAGCCATGTGCTGTTGTCATACATAATGGACAGGCATTTGCTCTAATTAAATGTTTTTTGAACTTTGCATTAACATTATAAACATATTTTCTATATGTATGCATAGATTTCCCCTTTTGATAAACAATGCGATCTTTTCTTTGATGCATTTTGCAGAAAGTAAGTAAATAATGTGAATGCAAAACATATGAAATCCACATTAATCAGCTGAAGGCCTCCACCGTGTCAAGGATTCCTTGTCTCCTGCTTTGGAAAATGCACGTGTCTGACAGATGTGCTGCACAGTGTTTGTTCTTATTAGACATAGCTGTGCTAGTGCAGAGATGATGAAACTTCAGCAAGCCCTAGAGGAAGCAGAGCACTGCAACTGCTCTGTCTACGGATGTGTTCTCTTCAAATGAATTATGCAGTGTTGATCCTATTACCGGTTTATTCATTTATTTAAATCTAGTTAGTTGGTTATTTCTTTAGTTATTTTGCTTAGAGAGTGAACTAGTTGGCACAGTTGGAAAATTATATGGATTGGTAGCTGGCAAGTTGCAGCTCTGTAATAAACATATAGGTGGGGAAGTATTTTGCTCTGCTTGAGTTAAGCAGAGTTCTGTACTCTCTGATGCTACAAAGAATTTACCATCAGGCAACAGTTGACATTCTCAATTGACTGCCTATCTCTCTCCTGTTAAATGGCTCCTGTTTCTCATAGAAATATTAATCTGCATACCTCAGCCGGGGATGTGAGTGGGTGACAGTGTGCCACACGGGATACCTGTGTCATATGTCAAGCAGATAAGAGAAGACAAAACTCAAAATAAAGCTGAAAAGGCCTGGAGACCGTTGCCAGCCAGGCAACACAAGATGACCTAGTAGAGAGGAAAGCCATTAAAAGAGAGACTTTTAATCTCGGAGGAATCATTTTCTCATTAAATAATATGACGAGCCACATCAATACTACCAATAAAAGAATCCCGCCAGACTATTGATGGCTATTAAAGAAACATTACAGAGTGGAGTTCTAAAATATGGCAGGACTTTGATTTTGTTAACAGGTTATTCATCCTATGTTGAACAGCCCCCCCACCCCCCCACCCATTAGACTCACCATGGTCACTAATTACAATGTCCGACAGATCATTAATTATTTATTTCCAAGTCATCTATTGTTCACTTTTAACTCCTGTATGTTTTTCACAGAGATATGTCGATAGTATTTGATAGTTTTATGTAACAGATGCAGGCGCATAAAGCTTGTATCTTGTGACAGTAAACATGTGGTAGCATGGAACCTTTATAGAAGTTTACTTTTCGTTTTCCAACAAGCACATATCACTGAAGTCATGGGACTAGCCAGACATGTGATCCGTATGCCGGAAGTTGCATGAAACCAGAGAACAGCTTTGGAGTAAACATGATGTTCACTTGTTGGTTGTTGGGCGTGAAGACAGTTTCTCAGGAAAGAGACTCTCCTCCAGTTATATGTGAGAGATGGCTATTTGTAAAATAATACGAATCTGTATCTCAAAACCTCAACTGCTGTCACGTCACATTCGTCAGCTGTCATCACTTCACATCATGCGGCAGCACAGTCTCAGATCAATGCATGTCAGTAATTGTAGTGCAGACATACTCTCAGTTCTTCACTTGTGTCAAAAAATTTTGAAACAATGAAACTAACATCAGCAACAGCTGCCTGGACACTTTAAAGTGGCATGGAAATAATCTGTCAAAACAGTAGAAAAGATCATCTGTCTTGTCTCTGCTTGGCAACTGGACTGGCCCACGTATCCAAAGAAGAGGGAGTGTTTGCTGTCTTTTGGAAGTGATAGTGGTGTTTACATTTTCCATTCATGTCCTGTGCTGAATGACCGAGACAGCTG